GCCTGGCGCATGCGCAAGAGAATATGGACATCCTCCCAATCCTTCTTGCAGGGGCGAGGGAGCAGCTACGGAAAGGCCCCCTCCTTGAAGACTCCCAGCTGGCGCGCGCACCTTCCCCACGCCATCCCAAGTTGACTCAAGAAGCGCAGCGTGGTTCATTTTGGAAGGTGCGCTCAGCTAAAGACTTTGTAGCCCCGACTGTGGGCTCTCGGCCTGGCACGATTTTCGCTACGGATTCCTTTAACGCCGTTTTTAGGAGGGTGCATCCTGAGGTTCAGGAAGGAATTTCCCAGGCTGAGCTCGCCCTCCAGGACGTGTTTGGACCCCCTGATGCACATGTGGCTCTCCCGAAGACTGGGGCAGGGCCAAGAGCGACATGTCTTTCGTGGACGACCTCACCGTCCTTACCCCAGTTGGGCGTTGCGACCAGGTCCAGGGGAAGGCCCTTGAGCTGGCCGAGTGCGTGTTTTGTTGTGCTGCTTGTGGGTCAGGGTACACACCCGACACGCTCAAAACCAAGCTGCTCATTGCGTTTCGGGGGGTGGGTGCAAAGCTTGTTCCTGCTTCGTTGCCAGCCAAAGCCTTGGCCGAGGTGCGATCGCCGAAATGGGGTGTTTCGTTTCCTGTTGTTCGGAACCATAAAATCCCGGGGTCCCAGGTGGACGCGGACGGCCCCATGGGCCCAGAAGTCGCTGCGAGGGTTTCTAAGGGAAGAAGGGCTCTCATGCCCATCCGAGTAGCTGTTGCGCCACGGCTTGCGCTGAGTCCCAAGGCGAAGATTACCCTCTCGGAAGCCCTCAGCTCATCAGCGTTGTTCTCTGGAGGGCCCACATGGACCAAGCTGACTGCTGCGCAGGCACAGCAGGTGCACACTGCTCACGTAGCGGTATATCGGACAGCACCCGGCCTCCCCCTTACCAATAATCCAGAAGTGCAAGTTCCGAGCGGGCACATGCACCACCAACTCGCCAGGCTACCGACCCTAGTTGTCCTGAGAGTGGCTCGCCTTCGGTTCCTGGCCAGAGTTCTTTTCAGAGCCCCTCCTGCCGCCAGGATTCTGGCTGACCTCGCATGGGATGACCCCCTTGGCTGGATTGTGCTCTTGCGCGAACATTTCCGTTGGCTGTGGTTTCACGCGGGGAAGGAAGGCATCCCTGAGGCCGACGATGCTCACGAATGGGTCCAGTTTGCCCGTACCCAGTCGAAGGGGTTTCTCAGGTGCGTCTCTGCTGTTGTTGCACAAGCCAGGCCGTACTATCAGGACCAGGCCCACCTTGAGATTTGGCGACGCGAGCTCAAAACGATTGCTGATGGGTCCCCAGTAGGCACCCCTCTTGATCCCCCTGGCCCCCAGGTTGTTTGTTATCAGTGTGGGTTTGTGGCTGGGTCAGCCCACCAGCTGAGTTCCCATGCCGGCCGACAACACAAGACCAATGATGCCCCATCTTCCCTGGCCACGGGGAGCTGCTGTCAGATATGCCTTCGTGATTTTGGGCAACAAATCTGCAGGCCTGTGAAACATCTAGGCAACTCGCAAGCTTGCAGGAGGACGTGGAGTGCTACGGCGTACCGACCGACTCCCGAAGAGGTGGCTACGGCGAAGCAGGAGGCTCGCCAAGCGGCGGCAGCGAATCGCGCCCAAGGCAGGCCCGATCAGTTTGCCAGCATTGCCTGGCGACAGTGTTACGGACCCCCGATTGCCATCAAGGTACCCTAGTCGCGCAAAAATGCGAAGGAAGCGCGAGTTTCTCAGCCTCCGTTGGCCCCTCCTCCTGACCCCCCCGCAGCCCAGGTTTGGTACCCCATTCGGCTCCCTGTGAGGCCCACCATGTTTGTGCTCCATCTTTTCTCAGGGCACAGGGGGCCAGGAGACCTACAGCATCACATGGAGGCCCTCCTGGAGCAGTTCCCGACACGGCTTTTTGTTCTCAGCATTGACGTCGTTAATCACCCCACGTTCGGTGATCTTACTTCTCCCCAGGCCATTCATCTGTGGTTGGAAATGCTGAAGCTGGCCGCATCGCGGCCGTCCTCATGGGCCCCCCCTGTGAATCGTGGTCCGTTGCAAGGCATAGACCTGCTCCCAATGCCAGGCATCCCCAAAGGCCCCTCCGTTCGGCTCTGCACCCCTGGGGGTTGGGCCACATCTCTACCAGGGAAAGCTTACAGGTGGAGCTTGCGAATAAATTACTTCGCACGTCTATCACCTTCTTGTATGAAGCCTGGCTCCACGGCGTCCCTGCAGTAATGGAGCACCCAGCTCATAGCTCGCACGTGCCAGGGTGCCCTAGTGCGTGGCTCCTCCCCGAACTCAGGGCCCTTGAGGCTCGACAAGGTGTGTCTAAGCACCTCATACACCAGTGCCGTTTTGGCGCTAGAGCTTTGAAGCACACGGTCTTGTTGTGTGTGCACGTGCGAGCCATGGACACCCGTCTCCAAGCTATGCCTGGAGGCCCCCTATGCAATCATGGTAGGCCTCATCAAGCCCTTGGTGGGCTCACTTGGGACACTGTTTGGGGAACCGCTGCTGCCAAAGCCTACAGGTCTGGTCTTTGTTTGGCCTTGGCGGCCACTTTGTTGCAGGATGTTCGCGAGCGTTGGCCCGCTGTGTGTATCGACGTTACCCAGCCCCTTTCCCCCCTGATGCTGCTTTCGCGCACCATGCACTTAGTCCCATGCGGTGGACCCTCACCCGTGAGACTGCGCTGCGTGAACTTGTTGAGTTGGGTGCCTCAGGCGACGACTGGAGCCTGCCCCAGGGGTTACGTTGTTACTACACACCGGGCGACCCTTATTACCACAATGAGGCTGCCATGGACTGCATGCTTCATACATTCGGGGGTACTCAGCGACGACCTATGTGTGCGACCCAGTGCCGTGTGAGGACCGTCAAACCTAACCCATCCTCTCTCGGGACTGCTGCTCAGGCTGCACAGGTGCTAGGGAAGGGCCTGGGGGTGAAGGTGTCCGCTGCCAAGGCAGCCGAGCGTGTCGGTTCACTTTAAAAAAACGGTAGCCCCCAGGTGTCGGGAGCTAAGCTCCCGACGCGACTATGTCAGTACCATCACCGCTGCCTGAACGAAGGCTCGTCTGTACCACCCCCTTTTTCCTGGCCTGCTATCCCGCCCTTTCTTGCACCATAGGTAGTAGTTCAGGCGTGTGCGCGGCCCTGTGCCGCATGCGCCCTCGAGGCGCGGCTGCAGCTTGCTATCTCTTGTCCAGCTGCTGCCACTGTTCTTGAATCCCCATCCTGCTCATTCTCTCATCCTGATTCTGTGGAGGCATCGACACCCTTGCCTGAGGACCGAACCGAACCGAACCGAACCGAGGAGGAGGAGGAGGAGGAGGAGGAGGAGGAGAAGGAGGAGGAGTAGGAGGAGGGGGGAGACCGGGGGTCTGGCTCCGGACCTCTGCTTACCTTTGGGGGAGACTCCACCTGCTTGAAACAGGCGCCCAAAACAGCCAAGATCTACTACATGGGGGGGGGGGAGGCGGGGGGGGAGGGCCCGCGCCGATTGGCAAAACGAGGAATCAGAGAACGACGACCTTCTTGTCCTGCCAGGGTTTGCTTGACGGTTTGTAATCTGCCCCGCTGCTCCTTTCCGTCGGGCGGGGCCACCGCGGGGACGGCCAGATTCGGGCACCCCCCTGCTGCTGCCGCTGCCGCTGCTGCTCCTACTCCTCCCCTTTATCCCCATATGATCTTCCTTGCGCTTCCTCCACGTCCTATTCTTACTCCTCCAACTTCTCCGCAAGCGTTTGTTCTCCTTGTGAGCGCCTCCTCCAACTCCCCCTCCTGGTCACATTTCCCCGTCCCAGCCTTCTCCCCACCTCCTCCCCCGCACCTCCCTTCTCCACAGTCCTCGGTCCTTCTCGTCATCGCCCCCCCTTCCCCCTTCCCCCTCCTTCTCCCCCTCCGACGGATCCGCGCCAGAGGTGCCCAGCGCCGCTCCGAGACATCGGCGCGGAGCTCCGAACCCTCTGAGGAGGAGGAGGAGGAGGAGGAGGAGGAGGAGGAGGAGGAGGAGGAGGAGGAGGGGGAGGAGGAGGAGGAGGAGGAGGAGGAGGAGGAGGAGGAGGAAAAGGAGGAGCGGGAGGAGGAGGAGGAGAGGGAGGAGGAGGAGGAGGAGGCGGAAGAGGAGGAGGCGGAATAGGAGGAGCGGGAGGAGGAGGAGGAGGAAGAGGAGGAGAAGGGGGAGGAGGGGGAGGAGGAGGAGGAGGGGGAGGGGGAGTGAATCTCGCTTCCCAATGGCGTTTGGCGGCCCCGAGCCGGGAAGCCTGCGGCGCGGGGCCTCACTCCAGCAGCAGGGCGCACTGCTTGGACTCCAGCCTGGCGGGGCTCCTCTCCGTCTCTGCTTCCCCCTTCTCGTCGTCCTCCTCGTCGTCCTCGTCCTCCTCCTGCTCCTCCTCCTCCTCCTCCAACACCTCCTCCTTCCTCCTTCCTCTCCTCCTCCTCGTCGCCGTCGTCGTCCTCCTCGACGTCATCGTCCTCCTCCTCCTCCTCCTCCTGCACGCCGCGCACCTCCTCGCAATCCCACCAGCCCTTCAGGGCGTGCGTGCTTTGCATGTTTTCCGCTTCCAGCCTCCCTCTTCCTCTTCCCCCTCGGAAAATGGTCGATCACTGCTCCTTACTAGTGTACGCCGTCTCCCCCATCCGACCACCGACAAAGCATAGCCAATGCGGCCCCCCACCGCCATTCTGGCAACCAATCAAATGCACGGTGCGGCAGAAGTTTAGGTCATCTTCAGGGGCCTGCGAGCAAGTTGTATTGTTCTTTGGCAGGGACGGCGGGGATGCCAGCGTATGCCCAGCTGCGCGCAGGGCCAACATCACTGTTAAGCAACAGTGCAAACTCCACTTCGCGGCAAAATCTAGGTGTGCGCGGCCACCCCCCGATCACGTTGCACTAGTCCTGCCAGCCCTCTGGGCGAAGTTGGTATTACGAACTTGTCTTCCCTCTGCACAACTCCCTCCTTCCCCTGCTTTGGATATGCGTTTACCCCTCCCCCTCTCCCCTCCCCTGGGCCTGGAAGGGGGGGGGGGCGAGGTGTCAGAGGGTGTTTCCTGGTCAACGACGGCTCCAAGAGGGCCTCCGCGAGTCCAAGATGGTCTCAAAGATGGGTCCAGATACTCCCAGGTTTTTAATCTGCGTCGGGGGGGGCGTCACCCCCGCCGACAGTCCCGCATCAACCGCCGTCGCGGGCAGCCACCGCGCGCCAGAGGCGCTCCGACCCCCGTTGCGGCGCTACGACGAGGCAAGGTTAACTCCCGTCGGGGGGTTCCCCCCCCCCCCGCATTTCAAGAAGCCCAGAGTAGCCATCGGCACACATCCAAGAGGCCGCACGATGTCCCCAAGACGGTGTCCAGAGCCCGCCGAACCTCCGAGGACCCCAACCCCTCGAGAGGCCATACTGGCTCCCACACCTGGAGAACATCTATGGCTGGTTGCCTTCTCGCTTGTTCGCGTCCGATGGTCTTGTTGAGACCTCTAGGTGGCCCCGAAACGACCCAAGCGGCGCCCAACAGGAGCCCAAGAGGGCCCCGAAAAGGGTCCCATGAGCGCCCAAGAGCGCTCCAAGAGCGGCCCAGGAGGGCCCAAGACGCCATGGTTGAGCCTCCGAGGGGGGAACTCGAATGAATGACCTCCCTCTTATTGAGCCCTAGGGACCAAGAAGTTTGCCAGACCCGTCCCATAGGCCCAGAGAAGGCCCCCCGACCCCCGAACGAGCCCCAACAAGGCCCCTTCTCGATCATCTGTCAATAGGAGGAGGCGGAGGAGGGGCTGGGGCCCATCCGCACTTCGACCCCGCGGCGGAGGCCGCCCCCAGGCAGGCCCGGGCTCACGCAGCGGCGGCGCAGGCACAGGCGAAACTCGCCCAGCGACGTGCTCGGGAGCAGCTGGTGCCCCACCAGTGCAAGCAGCTCTTGCACCAAGACCCACACAAGAGCGCGAGGAGCAAGACGATGACCTCCAGCAAGGGGACGCGATGGCGGCCCCGATCGAGACCCAGAACATGCGAGGACAGCGGTTGCCAGTACGACGTTGAGGTTGGTGCTGCCAAAGGGGATGCAGCAGTCACGTGAGCCAATGTGAGCAGCAGTCACTTTCTTCCTCTGGAGCGGGTGCTGACCACTGGGCATTGGACCGTGGTTGTGATTTCCATGGGCAGCGATGTGGACCAGAACCTCGGCAACTTTACTCAGCGGCCAAATGGAGTACGTCAGATATGGTGAGGCTCTCGGCACTATTCGAGGGCCTCCTTGTGAATCATGGCCTGCTGCCAAGTGGAGCGGGCTCAAAGAAACCGCTGGGCCTGGACCCCCCACCCTTTGGGCGACACCAGATGTCGACGAAGCATGTGCAACTTGAAGTGGGAAATCCGCAGCTCACTGGTGCACACTGGTTGCCCATGGTATGTTCGCAACTTGGGGCCTGCGGGGTGATCGGGCATCCCGAGCAGGCATGCTGGGAGCCACGGGCCCCGAGCCCGTGGTAGCCAGCCGCCGCTCGTGCCACCGCTGCCTCCAGCCTTTCAAACGACAAATGCAGATCAGTGCTGACTCGGACATGTGAGCAACTCACACACGGCCCTGCTGGCTGGAGGACACCCCTGAACTTCGTGATGGTACTCGAGAGACCGGACGAACAGGTCGCTGTTCACACCCCCGTCGTTACCACAAAGTCTTGACTGGGAGGAGGGAATATGGTACCTGGAAGACTGCCCTAAAAAGAGGATGCCCCCCACGGGGTGCATGCACGGATATGGCGAAGGCAATCCACTCTTTCCTTGACAAGGCATGGAGGGCCACTGACATCCAGCAAGCTTGCACAGCCCTTCCAGACGAGTTGGCAGCGTCATCCCACACACTGCACCCATATGAGGACACGTCTTCGACCAAAGTAAACAAAATCGTATAATCCAAATTCGGCCGCCCTGCCCGACCCGAGGCGCACGACTCACACATTCTCATGGGAGGGGAGGTAACCGTGCGCGGGCGATAATGAATCCCCTGGGATAATACAGTTCGCGGTCCCCGCGGGGATGAAAAAGGATTTTCCCGGGGGAGGTAAGTTCAAAGGATGACGACGATGGAGGAGGAGGATAAACCAGCCGCACGACAGAAGGCTGACTCGAGCGATCTCGAGGCTCGTGGCGACTTGCCCGCAGAAGCGCACGACACAAGGCTGACTCGGGCGATATCGATGCTCGTGGCTACCTGCCCGCAGAAGCGCAGGACGCAAGGCTGACTCGAGCGACCTCGAGGCTCGTGGCTAAGCAAGCGCCCAGATTTTGCCAGCGCTAGACAGGTCCTTGGCCGATCTGGCCAAGAAACCCATCTTGCGTTGGACTTCGAACCGCCCCCCCACGCAAGCACGGCGTCCTTTGGAGCCGTACTTGCATGGGATACACTTGGTGCAAAGCTGGGCGGCGGCGCTAGCCTCCTCGTAGCTGCCGCACTTCGGCTCGGCCGCCGCGGGGCCCTTGCAAGGGTTGGACTTGTGCTTGGCCTTGGCCTTGGCCATCGCCACGTCGTTGTCGCTCGCCTCCTTGGGTTTATTGATGAACTCGTTCCCTCGAGCGACAACGGCGTGGAGAGCTGCTGGCATTTGGCGGCCCTCGCCGCGGACCTCGCGCAGGTCGCGCTCGATCCAGCGGCTTGCCCGAAGGCCGCAGCTCCAACCGTCAACTTGGCATCGTCTGCTGCTCGGTGCTGGGCAGTGCTCGCCAGGGCAGATGGCGCTGAGCTTGCGGAAGATCCTCGCGGCGGCCTTGGCAGGCAACGCGCGAACCCTACCCGCGACTTCTGAGGGGGAGGAGGGCGGGACACACTTCGCTCGGCAGCCCCCGAGCAAAGTGAACCCCACCTTCCCCCCTTCAGAAATCGTGGGGTGTAGGCGTGAATTCACGCGTGGCCCTTCTGGGCCTGCTTCGAGTTCTCGGACGGCTGCGCGAGGGCGTCGCGGTAGTCCACCTCGACACCGCCGCCGTCGATCCTCGAGGCCCGGCGGGAATTCCCGCGAGTGCCCCCTGCCCGGGGCGCCTCCAGGATCCGCTCCAGACCGGAGCGAAACGCTGGAGGCACCCTGGGGTGGGGGGGGCATCGCAGCAACCGCCGACCTTGGGGTGCGTGTAGTGCGCGGGCGTCTCGGAGTGCACGCAGACCAGCACGTGCTGGGCCTTGTCGACCCTCGGCCCAGCGTTTCTGCCCCTCGGGCTGCTGGGCGGCGGGTGCGTCATCGCCCTGGCCCTCTCGAGCCCAGGCGACGGCCGCCGTGGGCTCGACCGCCAGCACGTCGTCGGGGACGCCCACTCGCTCCTCGATCTCGCCCAGCATCGCGCGCACCGTGCCCAGCTCGAGGGCGTCGCCCTTGACGATCTGCTCGCAGTTCATGATCGCGTACTCCTTGGCGAGCGCGGTGCGGCGAGCGTGTCTTGTCTGGCGCCAGTCGAGCTTCTGCAGCTTGGGGACCTTGTTGTCCTGTTCGGTCGTGACCTGTGGCGCTCGGGATTCGCAGGCGCTCGGTGGCTTCCGCCTGATTCCGCTTCCGCCTGCTTCCGCCTGCTTCCGCGCTTCGCGTTGCTTCCGCCTGCTTCCGCCGCCCTTCCTTTTCCTGCCTGCCAACTTCCGCCTGCTCCCGCCGCCCCAGGCAGAAGCAGGCGGAAGCTAATGAGTGCCTGTGGCCCTCGAAGCCTCGCTGGTGTTGATCTGGAAGATCGCCGCGGTCTCCACCTCGAATAGGCGCGGGCGGTGCTTGTTCTCGGTACCCAAGGCTCGCCAGACGTCCTGCCCTCCGCCGCGTCTGCCCTCGCGGTCACCCCCCTCGGCGACGCGCGCCACCTTGCCCTGCCAGGGGGGGGCTTCTCGCAAGCCTCGAGGCCGCCTTCTTGCCTGGCCTTGCCCTTCTCCTTCCTGTCATTATCCGCGCGAGCTTCTTGGAGAAGCTCGCGCGCGCCTTCGGCGGCCTGCCTGTGAGCTTCGCCTGGGCCACGCCTCTGCTGAGGTGCTCGAGCGAGGTCTCGCCGCCAGCCTTGCCCTTCTCGCGCTGCCACTTGCGAGCGTGCTTGCCCAGCAACTGGCCCGCGAACCTGGACGCCCACTTGTCATTGCGTTCACTTGCCCGCGCCATCTTGACCCTGTTCTCGAGGGCGCGCGGGAACTTGATGTCCTTGATGCTCCTCTGGCGGTTTGAGCACGTCCTTCTGCTCGTCGGTGACCTCGGGGCCCAGCTCTCGGAGCTCAAGGAGACAGGGGTTCTCGCCCTCCTCGCAGTCCCTCGGAAAGTCGTCGTTGTGGGAGCAGTTGCCGTCGAGGGCGCTCCACGCGGG